TTCATTTGATCATGATCAAACACCTCGACTGCCTCGTCATTACAACACTATCCTAACTTTATTTATTAAAATGACTGACTGGTATTATGCACAACATAGAGATCTTTTCATTTTCAACCCTGAACTTGACATTTCCTTTTCTATATATCCTGCAACTCCCACAGAGGTATGTATTTAATATTAGCAGACAAGTATTCTATTCCATACTTACATCTTCAGAGTGCAGAATGGCACCCTCTTGCATCACCATATTTCTGGCAGCTTGTCCTAGGAACTAAAAGACATGAAAGTCATAGGAAGAGATATAAACTTTATGTTCTCCAAGCTAATGTTCTTCCACTGTTATTCAAGGTTGACAATGCAGCTAATACTGAGCTTTCAGGAGATAGTAAGATTTGGGAATTTTAACTTTATGAACTCATATTTAATCCAGAAGCACTAATTTACTATACAAACATTCTGAACCAAAAGGATTTTCTGAAATTATGTAGAAGCTTCATAATAAATAATGTACGTGGATAAGTACTGCAGGCTACTTCTGCTGATTACTAGCTGCCTGCAATTTGGCAGTTCAAATCTCACCAGGCTCAAGGATGACTCAGCCTTCCAAGGTCGGCAAAATGAGAAATCAGATTGTTGGGGGCAATATGCTGACTCTGTAAACTACTTAGAAAGGAGCTGTAAAGCCCTGTGAAGCGGTATATAAGTGCTCTTGTATATAAGTGTGGTATATAAGTGCTCTTGAAACTTCTTGGTATCTTACAATATGGTAATTATTAATTATGCTAATGTACATAATGATTTACAGAAGCCCTTTTTTAAATTGATGGTCTCAAATTTCTGCCTGGTTGAGCAGACAAATCTTGAGGGTAAGCAATTTGTAAATGACTTGTTTGTGAATCAAGGATTGAAGTTTGTGGCTGGTGGAAGACATACCAAGCCAGCTTCAATCTGATATCATTCAGATGTACTACCATGCAATTCCCACAAATACCTTTGTCATGTAACCAGGAGGATAAGAGCCATATACATCAGAAAAGAATAAAGATATGCTTACATTCAAACTTTGCCAGTGATTCCTTACTGAAATTACTCTCAGACAAGTTCCAGCAATTGTGCAACACATACCCAGCAGCATTCAATATTAATTTCTACTCAGGATCTTGGTGGGATTTACCACTTTTTCGTTTAGTTTGCTCAAAAGAGTGTGACAATATTGGATACATACTTGGGTCTTTGGGGTAGAAACAAATAGGCTTTTAACCTTAGGAAAGCAATACTAATGATACTCAAGAATAAAACCTAAGTCTCCTTTCTTATTAGCTTGCTTGGCTAAATCAGCATCAGAGCACTTCCACTATAGGTATATGAACTTTATTATTAGTTTAGTTTAGTTTACTTTATTGTCATTGCACCTCATACAATGAAATAAAACACCATCTTCATTGCACATTGAAAATAAAACACACACATCCTTCATCCTCCACACATTGAATTGAAAACCCCTGACACCACACCAACACTGCACTATACAGCAGAATTCAACAGAGCTACTGCCCTGGGGTTGAAGCTGTTTTTCAGCCTATTTGTCCTTGTTTTTATTATTTTGTACCATCTGCCAGATGGTAATAGTTCAAAAAAAGGGTTCCCATGATGAGATGGATCTTTGAGAATGTTTTGAACTTTCTTAAGGCAGCGGGAGCTATAAAGCTCTTCCAAAGAGGGGAGATGGCAACCAATGATCCTCTAGGCAATGATGTTAACCCTCTGGAGCGCTGTCCTAACTGCCACTGTGCAATTGGCAAACCATACAGAGGTGCAGTATGTCAAAATGCTCTCTATGGTGCAGCGGTAGAAGGTCACCTGCATTCATTTCTCATTCATTTGTTGTTTTCTGACAGGCAAAAGGTCTGAACTATTTGAGTTTTAAAATAGAGGCGCTAAGTATAATATCAGATGACTGTAACTGAACACCTAAACGTGTCAAAATCATCGGTTCTATCCCCTGACATTTAAGGGGAAGAATCAATTGATCATCTTTATCCCATGAAACTAACCGGCTCTAGGTCAGACCTATGTTTTCTTAGCATTACAGTATTTCCCTTAAAAAGGCCGCCCGCCGAAGCGTTCAGAGACTACAAATCCCACCATGCACCGCGAACCTCTTGAAACGACTGAAACTGAGTTCCGGAATAATAGTTGGAATGGCGGCTCGCGTAGTCTCGCTTACCTCAGCGCTTCGGGAGCCCTTGAGCACCTGTTTAGTGAGAGCGATTATATCCGTACCGCAGTTGGTCACCTTTTCGGTCAGCAGTCCTTTCACCGAATGCCCAAATCGTGCCTGAACATCCACCGCCATCCCTGCCGGAGTTACCGCCATGTCACTATCAATAATCACAGAGGAAGCGAGAGAACAGCATCTACGGATAGAAAATAGGGTCAGAAAACATAGAAAAGCGCCCTGAACGGGCTTTGGCAAATATGGAATTGAATTGTTTATTATTCCATCTTACTTTAGTTCTTATTAGCTTTTCTGATACAGAAAAGAAAACCGCTTGCTTTTTATATTACCTGCGCAATACACTAAATACTTTGTATCTTTTAAAAAATTAATATATTTGTATTAACCGTTTGCCCCAGTATTAATCCAAAACTAAAGACAAAAAACTGATCGGTTCTCTGCTTCGCAGATTACTCAGTACACATCCCAACAAGTGTGATTACTTTTGATTCAGCGTTTGGGATTGCACAATATGTTGTATTATTAAATTGTTGCTTAGTCTATAATTTATAGTGTTTGACTTCAGCTACCGGCGTTAATTCAGTACGATGTATAAGCATCATTGTCTTTAAAGTATAATTCTAATAAATTGGGTTAATTCAGTAATCATCGTTAAGTCATTACCCGGGAGAAATGTTTTCGTCA